TTTGAAGTAAAGCAAAAAACCTATTTTTAACAGGACTGCCTTTGCCAGTAGCTCAATCTCGTAGGCTACGTCTACACTGGCCCCTTTTCCGGAAGGGGCATGTAAATTTCATGAGTCGTAGTAGGGAAATGCGCGGGGGATTTAAATATCCCCCGCGGCATTTAAATAAAACTGTCCGCCGCTTTTTTCCGGCTTTTAAAAAAGCCGGAAAAGAGCGTCTACACTGGCCCCGATCCTCCGGAAAAAGTGCCCTTTTCCGGAGGGTCTTATTCCTACTTTGAAGACATTCTCCTAATTGTACACTTAATTACTGACACTGTGGCAAAAGATTTCTGATGCAAAAGATTTTCTGAAGTAGGAATCAGGAAAAAAGCGGCGGACAGTTTTATTTAAATGCCGCGGGGGATATTTAAATCCCCCGCGCATTTCCCTACTACGACTCATGAAATTTACATGCCCCTTCCGGAAAAGGGGCCAGTGTAGACGAGCCCTTAATGTTTTATTAGTGGATGTTTTTGGGTTCAGCTTTTCTCTGGGTCCATCTCGACAGAGCTTTCAACCAAATTTAACAATAATCTTAAGCACTGTTGGTTTTCTCAGCAAAAAATATGCTAATGAGGGACTCATTTGCATGAGTTGCAATCTCATTTCCGTATTTTCTGCCGATCTGTTTTTGTGCTGGGGTTAATGAGCTTGTGACTCATGCAAATCAGTTCCTCATTAGCATATTTTTTGCCAAGAAAACTCATAGTGTAGGCGTAGCTTTAGAGCTGTCATGAACAGAGCAGGTTATGGTTTGCTGAGGCAGCATGGCCATCTCTGATTTACCTAAGGAGGCACCTTAGCTAGCGTACAAGTTTTGAGATAATTTCTACAATTGCCTTTGTCTACATTGCCAGTCCACAGCATGTTAGATGAGGCTGGTTCAGCCACAACTTAATGTAAGTGACAATTAAACATGGCTGTTATTCGTTTGAAAAATTACAAGGTCTAGTCTCCTTTGACTTACACTGGCACATATCCATTGATTTCAGTAATTTGCTTGGAATTACACCAGTGTTAAGTGGGAAAGAATCCTTTTAGGGCAATCTGCTATAAGAGTTAACACTGCAGCAAGTATCAAAAGAAAAAAAATTGTAGCTTGGCAAGCGCTGATGTTTATTTAAATCTCTTTACTAGGTTACAGAAATAAATACTGATTTAATCTAGTATGCCATAATTCTGTTTTACCTGTGCAAGAGGTTTCAGTAGTTCGACAGCACTTAACACAACCAGTAGAACTCATTGCCATGGGATGTTGTGAAAGCCAAAAGTATAAATTGGTTCCAAAAAAGAAGTAGGTAAGTTCATGGAGAATAGGTCCGTTGATGGCTATCATCCAAGATGGACAGGGATGCAAGCCCATGCTCACTAGGTGTCACTAAACAGAGCATGGGGCTGCATCCCTGTCCATCTTGGCTGATAGCCACCAATGGACCTATCTTCCATGAACGTATCTACTTTTTTGGAACTGATTTATACTTTTGGCCTTCACAACATCCCATGGCACTGAGTTCTGACTGCCAGCAACCAGGAGTGGAAGATTCTATTTTTAAGAGCCATTGTTAGAGGAAGATGGAGTTTGGACACTGCAGTGTCTTTGTTATATTCCCCATCTTATTGCGGTAGGGTACAATTGGATTTTTATTGTTCTCAGGATGACTCATGAAAGTTATTGGTAGTGCCATGAGTGGACTTGATGACTTTTCAAGATCCCTTCTAGTATTCAGTGAAAGCAGCATTATGCTAGATAATGTGAAGAGGGAAGCTATAAAACATAGCAATATAAGGTAACAAAGAGATTGAGTAACCAAGGAAACAAAGGGTATGTCTACACTGCATTCCTCTTTCAAGAGAGGAATGAAAATACTGCAGAGCGAAATTGCAAATGAAGCACGGATCTGAATTTCCCGCACTTCATTTGCATAATAGCATCCGGGAGCTTTTTCAAAATACCCTATTTTGAAAGAAAAAATGCTGCCGAGATGGGGTTATTTTGGAAAAAAACCCTTCTTTTGAAATAACCCTTAAACCTCATTTTTTAAGGAGTAAGGGTTATTTCAAAAGAAGAGTTGGGTTTTTTTTCCGAAATAATCCTTCATTTGCAGTTTCGCTAAGCTGCATTTTCATTCCTCTCTCGAAAGAGGAATGCAGTGTAGATATACCCTGAGAATGAGCAAAGAAGAAAGGAAGTGCTGCTGCCAAGTTTTCTTTTTTGGGGGGGGGGGGGGGGTTCGGTATTTTTGGTTGACAAAACTTGTGTCCTTAAATGGTACACATAGCCTCATTCTTCCTCCACTGGTGTATGCTAAAATGCAAATTGTTCTTTTTCCTCCCATTTCCACTCCTCTCTCCCCGCAGCCATCTTGATGATCCTGTTTATGGAGGCAAATCGCCGTTTATTTAGGACAGATCTCTTTAACATCTTTATCTAGGTGAGGCCATCTGTCTTGAACATATTCTAGTAACATCATATGGGAAGATTCTGAACTTTACATAGACCGTTGCTCCATGTTTCAACAGCAGTTGACCAATAAATTATTAGTTTTTAAATGATGCTTCAGAAGGCATATATTGTTCAAAGGTTATCAAGAGTATAGGGATCACAGTGTTCCATTCACTTCTACCAGTGGCAGCATTTTTACACCCACTTTATACAGAGTCCATGAGAAAGAGCTATTATGACCATTTTACAGAATGAAATGGAGGCAAAGACACACCAAATGACTTGCCTAAAGCCAGGCTTTTTTTGTATTAAAAAGTGCCGGTACTCCAAGGGAAAAGTTGTTGAGCTCTAACTGGAGGTGCTGGTACCGTGTCTGGAAGTGCCAGTACTGAGCACCGGGCAATACTGTCACAAAAGCACTGCCTAAAGCAAACAAGTACTGCCAGAGCAGAGAATGGAACCCAAGTCTCCTTAGCCTCTGATTAGGACACTTGAAACCATCTTTTCTCAAGAGCAAGAAAAATACCAACAGGCTGCCTCTATGACAAGACAAAGCTCAAGATTTTTTACTTTCTCTTAAATTGAAAGGGACAGCTTCATCCAAATGGCACAATTTAAGCACAAAGACGGTATGCCAAGATCTACTGAAATTCCATTTGAGTCCTTATTTCAAACTCTTGCAGTTGCCTTATCCAAGTCACTTAGGCCTAAATTTACATGTGTGTCTATTTGTTTTGGGTGCCTAACTTGTGACACTACAGACTTGTTTTTTAGAGGTGCTAAGCTCCCACAGTTCTCAGTGACTTCAGTTAGAACGACAGGCACTCAGCATTTGAAAGTCAGAGACTGGGTTAACCAATATGGGCACCCATAGATTCACTATATTAATGGACACCTTTGAAATGCAAAGTTGCAGCTTCAGTGTCAGTTTCTGCATCGTAAAGAGGAAAGCTTCCTTCCTTGAGTGATGAGAAGATTGATGTTCGTGAACTGCTCTGCAGAATTGCCCTAGTTAAAAAAATGTTAACCAAATGTATAGAGTTGTTTTTCAGCTGGCATATGATCCAGGCAAGTTTTAACATTCATTGGCTTGAATCTAAGATTCACATACAAGCTCATGCCACAATCAAAATTTGTCATGATAGTATCTTAACATGAAATACTGTTAATATTTATTACAGCTTTTGGAAAGAGGATGCAGTAAACTGGACAGATATAGTAGAGTAAGATATTTAACAGTAATACAAACTCTTAACTGTAAAAGTTACAATATAGAGATACAGAAATAGTTTATAGTATTTTGTATGCAACCTCATAGAAGGAACCTTTCAAGACCATTGCAGCATTTAACAAGGTTCAGTCCTGCACTGAGGTTTTACCAACCAAACCACTCCCGTTTCTTCATGGTGTAGTATCCCACCTCTGGGCTCTTGCTCTCTCATTATTCCCCTCCAGGGATATAAAATTCCATTAAAAATGTTAATGGGTTAAATTATATATTTAACTGGTTAACCTACCCACCACATTGCACCATTGGGCTGCTCCGGTCCAGCTAGCCTGGAGCAGCCCCCAAACCATGGTGCTGTGGGCCCGGCTGAGTCAGGCACTAGTTAAGTAGCTATCTGTTTACATTCCTATTCCCCTCATCTGTTTCTCTTTGCTTTTTTTACAGCAGAGGATAATAAACAGCTTGTACCAGTCCAGCAAATAGTACTTTCCTCATTAAGTCTGGGAGTACTAGACGGATACAAACAAAACACTTGGAAAAAATGCAGGATTCCTGTCATGAACATCCTTCAGAACTCACTCAACGTTTTTTTTCCTTGAAAGCTAACTGCACAAACTCCTCTTATAGACAAAGGTGTAACAAAACAAATGCATGTAGTGATGAATACATAAACATAAGAGAAGGAATGAGTATAAAAAGTCTGCTTCCCATGATGGCATATAGGGGAGTAGATGTTAAAACAGAAAGATCTCAAACATCGTTCGCATACTGAGATCCCAACCAGGATTGTGGCTCCTAGTGACAGATTTAACTTCTGAATCTGGAAGGTAACATAGTACTTTGAATACTTGTGCCAAGGTACAGGACCTTGCTATGATTTTAGACAAAACAGTTCCTTCCCACATTGAGAAGCAAGGCATGATCTGCACAAATATTAATTAATGAGATTAGTATATTTACATTGAGAGGAAATAATCAAAGAAAACTAAGTAGGAGTCTGTCCTTAGCCACAATAAAACAAAAGCAGAAACCTCCAAACTAATTCAGTAACTTACCTTGCTATTGGCAATAGTGTACCGTTTTGACACAATTCATGCCTGAGAAAAACCACAAGCACTGGTGAACTTGAGGGACAGCTGCAGTTGCCCCCTACAGTTTACAATATCACTATCCAACAAAACATACATTAAAAACATCCATTGTGTAGCATTTTTACTGCAAGACCTATAAAATAGATTGTGTACCATTTTCAAAAATTACTGTTGTAGAAACCACACAAAATACAAGTGGTTTAGTAGAAAACATGTTTAATTGGCTTTCATACACTGTTCCAAAAAGAAATGCACTCATACAATATTGTATCCAGTGTACTTCTGGATTTGTTAATGCATTGCCATGAATATCAAGGCAATAGGTGCCTTAGAAATAACTTCACTAGACACAGTGTGTTTGAAAGTAAAGCATCACCAAAAGACTTCTATGCAGGTATCAATTTGAAATAAAATCAGGAATAGTAAAACATTTGCTTAATATCTCAATCAGTTGAAGGGAAAAGGAGGGGGGAAGTGTCAGTTTTATATTTTATACTGATTTTTTTTTCAAGATGCAAATTCGTATCTAGAGCTAAGTAACAGTTCAGTAACTTTCTTTTTAAAGATAGAAGCAGACGTGATAAAATGCTGTTTTAAAAATATATTAGCCACTGGCAATGATTTTTATTGATAAAAGGAGACAGTTGGAAGCAATTTTTGCACTTGCTCTCATAACTAGACCTTTCTTGTGTCTTCTTGGAGATAGGGGGAGACAGTTCAATTTTTGTTGATTGCTTGGTATTAAGCTCTTCATGAAGAGAAGCAAATCCATCTTGTGCGTGCCTACATCACACAAGGCACTAACCCATCAAGTATCCCCTACAGGACAAAATAAAAGTTAACAGAGAGAAGTTAGAAACACAGAACACCTCAACTGAACAGACTGCAATCCTCAATAGAAAAGCAATACCCAGATTATCAGTGTACCCACCTGTCAGACAAACTGAAAAAGTGAATTAAAATAATCTTATTAAATGAGCCAACAAGAGAGATCCTCATAAACAGTTTCCTAAAATTAATGTTCAAGCCATAAATCATTTTATGGTATAGACTTTCATTAGAAACATGATCAATGGTCTAAACTTTCCACTCAATCAATTAGACTATTCCATATATTCAAATTTTCATCAGTCTATGCAATCTATTAATGTGGTACAATGTGAAATATTAATGCAAGCTTAGTTCCACAATTGCAGAGCCTCTTAATATAGATTTTCAAAAACAGAAGACCAAGAGATAAAGTTGTTTATAAATAACCATAACATAAATCCAAGAATTCTTTTGTTTCTCCTAGTCTAAGTTAATTAATTTAAATGTAGTTATAATTAGGTCTCCAGTCCAAAAATCTGGTTTTATTAGCTGTTAGCCAGATTATTCTCCAAAATGAACTCCAAACACTCACTTGTGGTAGAAATTAGTTGCAATTGCCCCTATATCAACTACTATGAATACATATATCTAGTTGGTCTATAAAAAAAACTAAAAAGATAGCTACCCCCTAGATTTAAAGAAACAGATATTCAGTTTATAGTTGTAACATTTGACAGTAAAGCTCAAATTGGCATCTTTGTTGTGTTGCTCCAGTAACATGTGCAGACTAGTTCCGTAATGATAGGAAACACTTTTGGTATGTTGGAAATAACACCTATTCTGTGACCTTTAAAAAAAAAAAAAAAAGGCTGCATCCATCTTTGGTCAGTTGAAGGAGGTCTAAAAGTTCTATCTTATTACTTATTTCATCACATTCACTACAATTAAAGATTCTACTCTATGATTATCAAGCCAAAAACAGATACCAACAAAAATCCCTCTCTAACCAAAAAGGTATTTTTCATCTGATCAAAAACTTTTAGAATTGTAATCTAGGGAGTCAATAGTTCTCTCAAATCCATCTATAGAGGCTCCACTAAACAAAACACTGGCTTAATTTTCTTTAAATGATTTTATCAAGAATCCTGTAAAATGTTCTTTGGGAGAAATTTCTTCCATTCCTTTTTAACAACTTGGGAAGTTTCTCTTTCACTGGCACACTATTCCCTTCTGTGTATAGGTATCTAAATGAGTAGAATCATTGTTGACAGTCCTGCATAGCAGTTGTGCTTGAATGTAGGTCGTTATAGCCAGATAGTCCTGAAAAAATATCCATTGAGCTCGCACAGGATTCCTATACTAGCAAATCTAAGGGGCACCTTCATATACCAGCATTTCCTAGTGTTAGTGTTTGTGTCTGTGTCATTAGCTACAGAGAAACATGCTGAGAATTTGGATCATGGGTGAAACTGGTTCAGACTCTGGTGTTTGCTTGAGCACCTCAACCTCTACCCCCATTTTACTTTGCTATAATGATTTAATTTATTATTCTCTTGATGTACCTTTTATCATCATAGATTCCAGAAGTTTATCATCACATTTTTTGAAAGATTTTGCAGTTGTACTAACATAGACTATCAATTTCAAGATCCTACATCATTCAGCACAAACTGGTACAAATTCAGCCCCAGTTCTCTTTTTTCTTGTCTCCTCTAACCTTCTCTCCTTCAAAGAACGAAGATAACATAACTGCTAAGGCCCGAGACACATATACAAGTTGGACCTCCCTGATCGAACACTGTCAGGACCTGACGGGTCCCAAACGAAAGAATTTGCCAGATCAGGGAAGTGTCCCATTCCACCAGCCCCGAGACAGCTGGCCCCCTGTCTCTGGCCCCCTCTGTGCTCTCCCCAGCTGGGCTTTGGCTGCCACAGATGGCTGAGTTTCCCTGGGCTGTCCTGGGTGGCCAGGTTCCCCTGGCCCCAGGGCCAGCACTACTGTGGGGCTCTGGCCCCACTGCCACCAGCATGGCTGATGACCCTCCTGAAATTAGGCCAGGGGTAGAGAACCTTAGGCCCAGGGGCCAGATGCAGTCCCCAGCATGCCTGGATCTGGCCTGCGGGGTTCAGGGCTCCTCCCATGCCAGCATTGGTGAGTCCACACTGGCACTCCAGCCATGACCCAACTGATCTTTCTGTGGGTCAGTGGCCCTCAACCCAAAAAAGGTTCCCCTCCCCTGCATTACGCTCACAGGCTCTCTGGTCCAGAAGCATCCATGGTCCAGCTGAACAACAGATGTTGCTGGACCAGAGAGTGAGGGTTTTCAGAGGTGCAAGCTGTAGATCTTAAAGAGCAGCTGTATATTATTGTAACCTATTGTCCTTCCTTTCCCCCTCAATTTCCCCTTGTTGTTTACGGATCTCACTTCTTGAATCATGTCTGAGCTACAACATTTCATTGCAAGGACTGTCTTTACTTTTTTCTGAAAGGCATCTAATGCATTTGGAGGTGTCTGAAAAATCAGAGCAAACACAAAAGGGACAACATAAGTCTACGCTGTGCATATACAGTAAACGTCCGATAATCCGGCACCCTTAGGACCCAGGGAGGGCTGGATTATCAGATTTCTTGAATCATGTCTGAGCTACAACATTTCATTGCAAGGACTGTCTTTACTTTTTTCTGAAAGGCATCTAATGCATTTGGAGGTGTCTGAAAAATCAGAGCAAACACAAAAGGGACAACATAAGTCTACGCTGTGCATATACAGTAAACGTCCGATAATCCGGCACCCTTAGGACCCAGGGAGGGCTGGATTATCAGATATGCTGGACTAT